ATTCAAAAATGTAAATTCATCGTTTAACAATATTAGATAAAAGCACGAAATAGCTACCTAGTACTTTTAAGTTATCAAAGTTTATGAAATTTATATCATAATTTGATGTGAGTAATGAACTGGAAAATAAACGGAGAATAATATAACAGATTTTCTATTTTAAAATGATAAACTATGCGTAATATACTTTCAATCATCTCTGACAATTAAGCACGGAGACATGACTTATGAACTATTCTGTTCACACCACATTGACAGCGAATAACCAGTACAATAAACTTGATGTTGTGCCAGAGCCAAGCGCAGCTGAGTTCAATCTTCAAATTTCACAGTCCATTCCCAAATTTTATTCCTTTGAATTCAAAAATTATACTTGTTTTCGAAATTGTAATAAAATTTTCGAACCAGTATGTTTATATAAAAACAGTTGTTCATTAGATGTGAATCTTTGAATCAAAGTTGGATTGACTTTAATTAATATCAACAAAATTTCTACAGAAAAAGATATAAACGTTTCGATGTATCCTCTGCAAAACATTATTGCAGCCATCAGTTGCTTTAAGCAATTTAGGCACAAAAAGTAAGTAAACTTGATTGATCCTCAACATATGATTGATTTGCGCCAAACAATTCCAATGAACATATCACACAGACAGAAAGTCAAGGCATTCGTAGAAAAAGGAAAATAGGCAAAGTAAGTAGAAGTTCAAATAAATTGTAGTTGATATAAGAAATAGAAAGCAACATCGCAAATGAAGAACCTGGAAATTTCACATAATCCTGCTTCATATAATAACTCCAAGGTGACTGGATTAGGATTTTGGTTAGGGTGAATAGCTTTTTTCATAAATAAGCTGAGACTGAACGTACGAATAACCGGTGCTTCTGAAGTTTCTACAGATCACAGTCAATAATTTCAGTTGGACGATTGTAGAACTGTCACTAGGACGATCCTGAGCCTTGTTTCTACATAATGGATTGATATTGATCAACATGGTTTTCGACATCATCAGTTTATGTAGCCAATTCACCCTAACGTATTTTCAAGTTGTTTACGCACACGTTATTTCATTCTACAATACATTGTATGATCATTTCTTTCAATGTATTCATGTTCACGCAAACATGTTAACTGATACGCGCAATTAGATTTGACAAAATTGTGTTTTCAATGTCCTGATCTATGTAAATTGAACTTTCAGGTCTATTCAATGTGAAGTAGTGTGTTTCAGATATTCCAAATTAACCGAGGCTATTTTTGATGGTGTTTTATTTACCATTCAAAATCAAATCAATTGAGATTAGTGATAAATAATTATTTTTTACATTTCGTGTTCATAATCAACATAAATGCTTACTTAACGACCTATATGATATATTTGTTTGTACTGAATTGGGTGAAGGATATATAATCTGCAAAACCTACTGTGTCACAGAACGGAGTTAGTTGAAGAATGTTGCTTGATGAACTATACTTATGGTGGCAGCAGATGTGAATAAGTACAGTTTATGTATCATTTTGTTTGATCGTCAGGTATAAACATGAAATTACATAAATGTTTGAATCGATCGAAGAAGTCAGTTCGAAATCAATTTGACTTGCACAAAGTTTATTGACTTAAAATAAATTGATATTTGAGTCAATAAACGTAGTGGTTTCAATTTACAAAAAACCTTGATATTATTTACAGATGAGTAAATTATTAAAAGCAATTAGGAAACAAACATTTGTCGGTTACTTACCATCGTGTATCAAAATCGATCTTCAAAATGAAGAAGTCCTTTAAAATGAGTGTATTTCGAATTATGCGTTTTTTAAATTTCAAAAACGTGCTCAGATGTTGGAAATTTCTAAAGTAAATATTTGAACAAACAAATGATATCGTTTTTAGTTAGATCAACATCTAACTACATATGTAGTTCTAAAATTTTTCATGTTAGAATGACTGTTACTCATTGCTCAAAAGCATAAGTTGAACTGAGATTATCAACTAAAATTTGTTTTTAGTTACAAAAAATATCAATATATTGTAGAAAAAATATAGAGTGCACGGAACAAAATGATTCTTATGATAAATAATTTGAGTATAGTCCCGGTAGTCATTGTGCCTTCTCACAAATTAATCGGCATACAAACGTTGAGTAGCTAGAGATACTACAAGGAATATAGACTTGAACACTCTTTGCATGAACAACAGCGGAAAATCAACAAGGCTTAAGGGAAACGAAATAGCATAGACCAATTTCGGTCAGTTCAAATTTCTGTTTATCGAATAAAAATACTTCCATTTATGCGTGAATGGGTCATTAGTATCTGTGATTAGCTAACGATTTGAGTAACAAACTGTCAACACAGAACAGACATAAATCGCATGATAATGGATGATAAATTAACATAACTTTAATTGTAAGACGAATGTATAAATTAAGTAGTCGACTTAGTTAAGAAACATGAAGTCAATGTTAAAAAGCAGAACCCTTATTTTCAACATGGTTTTCAGAATAGGATATCCCTTTTTCCAAATAAATGGTAAAGTTTCAACTTCACGCAATTTTTTCATATAAAATTTTGTTGTTTAAAAATCGTTTCTTAAAAATAACTGGTTATATCTTTCAAAATATTTCATAATACCTTAATATTTTTGATTTATAACTGTTTCGCTTTTGTGATTTGTACTGTATAAACATTCATGTTAGCCACATCTTACTTCTGTCACTACTTAGTTTATTTTTACATCCATTGGTAAAATCCATGATATGTGTTATCAAAAATCTCGTGATGACAATCGTGTAAGTTCATCTATTTAATTAACAATACGAAGTAAATAAAAATAACCATGTGAAATGATTGGAAAACGATTTTTTTCTAAATCAGACCACAATGTCCACTGTATACTAGAATAACGATGATAAAACTAGCCATAAGATAACTTTTTATTTAGTTTGTATGAGCAGAGTTGGTCTACGGTTTTCTATGGACTATCAAACAAACACGTGAATAAATAACAGATATGAAAAGTTTCAAAGCAAATACCAGTGGCTTGAATGATTATCTCAAACAATCAGATTTCATTTTTGTGCAGGTGCTTGCCTGAGCAAAAACTGATGAGAAATCAAGGTCCTACAATGCATCTCAAAACAAAACATTTATGTTTGATCTGACATGAAGGCACAAGAGAATGTAGAAATTTTACATATCTAATATGTATGTTTGAAAGGTCATATATTGCGAACAGTTCCTTTTTTTAAAATCCTTCAGGCGAAATGAGAAAAAAAGTAGACATAATTGAAAACTAACCTGAATATTGGAGATCTAATTTAAAAGAGTGAACAGGAGATAAGGTCTCACAACAGACTTGACTGTAGAATCTTGGTTGGGGGCACATGCGGCACTATATATATAACAGTTTAGTCAATAGGTTATTTTATTCTGAAGAAAAATATTATTTGATACATGTTGTACATTTTTTTAGTTGTAATAAAAGTCGTATTCGTTTATTGATTTTGCTAAATATTTATTCTTAATACGATGAAATAATTATTGAAATCAATATTTAATTCATACTGGATAGAAGCAAGAATGTCAAACTTCACTTATATAGACGTACGTACCTTCATTGTGTTGAATATACCACCCGTTGGTTTAGTTATCTCAAGACTGCAGCAGGAATTAGTAAATTTCCGTAGTATTTGTCTATGTTATTTTTCAAATCCTTATTTCGTTTTTAACTCGTATAGATTGGTTAACTGTAAAGCAGATTTATCCGAAACCTATACAATTTCGTTGGTTAAAATATCTCTCATTATAAATGTGAATGGTAAAATTTTTGGAATAAACTATGAATTTACGATAAACATCACTATACTCACCCTCATAAACCGAAAGAAATCAGAATTTAGGAATATACACATAAAACTAGTCAAGCTTCATTTGCAATTGGAATGTCAATAATTACTAGAATGTATTCAGAGCGAAATCAAACAGTACTTATTTTTGTGGTAAAGTCATGCTGATTCCGATTATCACAGTTCTTCTTTATGAAAGTCCTGCAAATTTCACAATGAATTCACTGTGACAATCGAATTTCATAGAGAAGATCACCGTATTGTAAATGAAAATTTTCACTAGAGGTAACGGCATCTAAAAAACATACAGATAAATAAGAATTAAGTTTACAGACTTCAATATTCGTTGTCACTTAACAGCGTCAAAAGTTTCAAAAATGGATTACTTTCAAAACTGGAAGATATTTAAGTATGAGGCTTCAACTTCTCTTTTAGTAGGGGCGAATATAAGCAGAGGTCGAAAATACAAAATGGGATATAAAGTGAACAGTTGAACGAAATACACGATTTAGTATCTACCAAATCCATTGTAAGCTTCCTATAATAGAACCATGGACTGTAGGATATACTATGTATCTGAAATACATAATCCGTCAGCTTACACTTTATCAATAATATACATTTTTGCGTGGTCCTTAAACACTTGAAGTGTAACCTTAAATGACTAAATGATCTCACTATATTTTTACCATTTGTCTGACTCATTTCCAGTTCAGATGATATTTAAAAAATTGCAATGTCAAATCTGAATTTTCATACAGTTTGCTGATGCACCATTTCAAATATCATGTAACGCACTTATCTCTGTTTCATATTTGATTAGTAAAATTGTACTTTCATGTGTAAAGTTGCAACAAAACATTCATTTTTACCTATTCATCATTACATCTAATGAATAATAAATTTATATTCCGGAATTATCACTGTCAGATGATAAATTTGTTTATTTACAAAAACGAACAGTTCACATGTATGAATGAAAAATCACAACAAAATATCACATAACAGTTTGAAAATAGAACTGTCTTTATTTGTTTTAATACATCTATTTATTGAATAAAATACTTTAACTGCATTATTTATACAACATTGTTTTCTATCATTGGTCAATTTTGAATATATAAATTCAAACAACAGTTAAAAACTGATTTCATTCTTTCTATAATTGTATATCTGGATGATGTTACTAGAGTTTTCGGACGGTTTATTCTATATCATTTCACAAATCATACTAATGATATTTCAGGTAAATTGAAATTTTATTATTACTGTTATTGCCATACGTTCATTAATGTCAAACACTAAACATTCTTTTGGTGAATACGATCGCTTGTATTTTTGTGTATCATAAACAAGAGAATACCCCTTGTATTATGGTGATAATTAGAAGTCACATTTGTTTCTGTGAATGATTTCTTGTCGATTTATTCGTTCTAAGGGCAAAAGGAAACGAAGAGATAATAATAATAATAATCGAGATGTAGCATGATAAGTCCTTCACAGCCAGAACATACAAGCTGGACAGTAGCAATTCCATTTTTGATACCTAGGACAGGCCCTCTAAGCTAAAAAAAATCCGAACACACTTCACAGATTATATTAACGACTCTCTCTTGCCAACGGAAGTTTACAGAACAAACTTATTTCATTCCCAATGTGATTTGGTTTAATGAAACAATGTTTATTGCCAGCAAATCTAAATCCTGCCCTTTTGCTGCTCATAACCTACAAACGCATAATTTTCAAACCCTACTCCATCATTCTGTAACTGTCAGTGAAAATAGTTTCCGATAAATTCTTTTTTTATAACTAATAACATTTTTAGTTTCAAGGTTTATTTTTTCCAGATTGTTTCACTTTAAACGAAAATAATAATCAGCAAACTACTAAGAAACTAATAGAAAAAGTATTATGTTTTAAAGAAAATTAGTGAAAAGTAAATATCTCCTGTTAAATGTTCAATTCAGCATGATAAGTTGTTTAAAATAATTAAAATGTTCAAATATCAATGTAACTTGTGTTCGTCTTTACCTCGGTTTTTTTCTCTATTTGTTGATGAATATATTAAATAAATGCATCACACTACATCTGATGAAATTTTGTAATTTCTAAACCTTTTATTTTCGTCAACACATTTGTGATATGCATATTTCAACTTTCAATTTACAGTCATTTGATGATTCAACGTGAGTTTCATTACACTATCATTCATTGTTATCAATAACATTTGATATTGTCGAAAGCGTTATAATTTGTTGAATTGATTCTTGGGATTATAAGTGAATGTGTATTTGTATGCAAATTGATAAAAAAGTTGTTATTAAGTAATTTATATTTGGTAATAAACACTTGAATGATAAAACGAGGAAAGATTAAGGACATTTATCGTGATCGTCACTTTACATATATCATTGTAAATGAATAACGTAGGGAAGATATCTTTAGGCAGATGTGAGTAATGGTGAACGTTCTTTTGGCCAAAGTTCATATGTACACGAATCTACACTATAAATTATCTATGCACAGAATAGAATTTATTATGACGTAAACAATCAGAAGTATTTCTGAGAAAAATTGGACCAATTTACAGTGATGAAAGTTCTATTAAGGTTTCAGATTGAAGCATGTCTACTCAGTTAATTGAATAAACCAGCCTCAGCCCGAATTCTACATTTCGTCCACTCAAACTCAAAATTTTATTCAGATTTTCATTAACTGCAGCTTAAGCAGATTTCAAGTCATCAGTGTATTTTTCTTTCGAAATTTAAATTTTATTTGTCCAGTAAAACAAATGAAATGTTCATCAAAATCATAAATCATTCACTGTCGAACTATCAGTAGAAATGTGAAGAAACTAGAGAACCTTTTCCTCCAAATATAGAACATATTACCGACCCACAGGTCGGCAGAGCACAAGAGGCACTTAACAATACAAGGTAAAACATCATATGACTATCTCCAAAAAGAACTTCTTCCATGCAACCTCATCTAGAAACATCAACGGTACTCGTCCACAGAGGCAAAAACAAGTACAGTAATAAATAAAAGGATCATCCTTACATAAATCGAAGACATATCAGAAGTTGCAACATGACACTCGAAATCATTTATAATTAGTGTTACACACAAACAAACAGACTCACTTCAGTCAATCCTATGTGGACCAGAGGAAAAAATGATTAAACAATGAAAAGCCAAATGTCATCTGAAAAAATACAAAGGACAAAGTGGACTTCCTGTTCAGCATCAAACCACATGACAGTTCTACACTAATATCAATACATACGGAAAATTATTGACATACATTCAATTAGGACAGTTTGGGAATACTTAATAGAGGTGATACAAAGAAAAATAAAGAATCATTAGAAGCTAAGCGCTCAGGTGAATAGGCACTCAATAAACACATGGATATTGAATCATTTTATCAAGCAATCAGAAAAATCATTGGTGACATAGTATCAAGAAACAGATCAAAATGGGGATACAATCAAGGAAAAGGTACAATAAGTTTCAGGTTTGATGTCAACAGCAATCAATTAAGATCGAGTTTAGCAGAACAAGCTGCAGGTCAAACGTCAAGAACTTCCAATGCTTCACTTCTACCTAAAGTTTGTGCCAATGATGTTGTTGAGAAGAATAACTAAAACAACCAAATCGAAATATCCCGCTCTTAGAACGAAATAGCACAACAAACTGGGATGTATTCGTGTTATACATATATTGAAGAATATTTTTGTCAAAACATCTTGGATGAAAAATAATATTAGGTCAATTATTAAGAAGTTCATATAAACATAGAGTGAACAAAAAGTAGAGAAAATTATCACGGAATAGAAAAAATGAAGGATACCGTGACATTTGGTGATCTAAATTATATTCTGTGATTTTAATTAGACTAGAACTATTGACTACTATACAGAAAAGCTTGTGAGTTCGTCTATAGCTCAAGTAGATGATTGTGGTGGACTGTTGTTCTCTGAGCTGAATATCCCAAATAATTAGACTGTGTTGTTCCTCTAACCAGAATTAATAGATAAATGTAAAGCACGCAAATTTCTCAATATTTATTACGTAGTTTGTTCTGTTGACGTCAATGTTTTCTAATTTGTGAAGTGAAATTAATTGCTTATTACATACATTATTCATAAGTATAAACGAAGCCCGCTGTTCAAATAAAAAATTAGTCGCTTCTATTAGTCTGAAAATTCATTCTTCATCATTTCTTTACAGCTTTCGTTATTCGTAAATTAAAATCCCTGGCTATCTGTGCGACCAGGTTAATGTGACAATTTTACTATCCCTTCTTATTCTTATCAGATTATGTTAATTTTCTTTTCTCCATTTACACTTATAACCTTATGTCTATTTGAACTTTTATCTAATTTATCTTGTATTATTTTTTATATACAATAATATCATGACAAGTGCATATAGGTGTGACCAGATAGTTCGAAATGTTCGGCGACCATACATCACACTACTTTTCCAATCAATTACGTCTTCTTATTGTTGTTTCAAATTCACATTTTGTATCAGTGACCAAGTAACAACCACTAAGTAATCATTACACTTACCTTCGGCTAATGAATCATGAATTATTCTACTCAGGTGATAAAAGACATCAGCAAGTTCAAACAGTTAGTCCTATTGATGATGCGAGGACAAAGATGATCAGAATTATGTAAATTCTAATTGCGGAGAATACAAAACGTCAACTTGATAAAATTTAAGCAAATTAAGTTGAGTTTAGAACAAACATATTTTTTTGCTAAAAATAAGAATTACAAACGTCAAACGTCCGTCTTTCTCAAATGTACTTAAGTGATTCAGATTTTCCTAAACCTGTACTTCACGAAAATTCAAAGCTTCTTTGACTGTTTGAAAACATTTTGTCATCACATTGAAGTTAACTGAGTTTTAGTGCGTTATTATGTGTAGTGTTGATTTTTACATGGTCTTTTAAAATCAACTGTAAATTAACACACCATTTTTTCAAATTTACATGCATATGTTGTAGTTCCTAACAAGCGTTTATGTATGATCAGATTGTTTAAAGTGTATTGCATTATTATATCGCATAGTTTTGATCATCTTCACAATTTCAATGAGCCTCAACGATTCGGGTTCTAGTGAGAAGCCGCGACTAGTTGAGAACTTTCATTATGAGCGTAAGACTGCTACTTACCAAAGAAAATACATAAGGTTGCACAATAGCTTCGAATGAATAATTTTCGACATAACATGGTTAATCTTCGGTTCAGACCACTTTTTCGCATGCTCAGCCGAATGCGTTTGAGGCTGTGGAGGTGTACCGTTGATGAGTATCACGATAATAAGTTACGAAAGTTTTCTAACACAGTTGGATTCACTATTTCAATAAAAAAATTCACCTCATCGTTACATCATTCGGATTTTCCAAAACCAGTTTTCTTTTGCACATCAGTGTCCAAGACTGTTATCTAATATTGAAAAAGTGTTTGGTATCCCATTTTTGTCGCTAGAGTAGATTGGTTATTGTATTTTTAATCACCAGTAACCTATTTATCTATGTATGATATCGCTATTTAAGGAGTAATCAGTAACATGCCAGTTTATTAAAATCGTTCTGTTGTTATTACGAAAATTTTATGATACTCAACATAAAACACATTATTTGAAGAATATTTTTGAAATCGACATCTTTCATTACACAAGTAATTTGTTAAAACACTATTTCAGACAACCATTTGTTCCTTCACCACTGCATCGAGTCAACAAAGACGGAATTCTTTATGAGCCGAAAATTGTCAATTACGGAACGTCTGTTATCGAAGATGTTTACAGAATAGGAAATGCAACAAAATGTAAGCCTATTTATGATTTTAACTCATTTTTCAATTGTGTCCGTTTAATTCAATATTCTAAACGTTTTCAAAGTAGATTAATTTACGCTAGCTGATATTGTGTTTGCAGTTTGCTGTCCATTGTTTGAATTTGAAACAATTTTCAGTCGAGTGAGCAAAAAACTAAGTGTCCGATTGCGAGACGTCTTCAACAACAACCTACTGTAGAAGAAGAAATCAGCATCTCGCAGACGGAGAAAAACGGAACATCCTTTGGAGCAAGGTAAGACACATATTGAGAAACACACTCAACGGCGTCTCAAGGCAAGACCTCATATCGAATTCAGAAGACTGAGAGGAACGTAGACATAAGAATTCCTTGCGACTGGTAAGAAACTTGAACCAACGGTAAAATAAGGCTGTGTACAGAGTAGGTCGAAGGATGCAGGTGACAGGAATATGTGGGTAGGTGCCCAGATAAACTAAACAATTTATTTGGCGTATATGAATGCTTGTAAGTCTAGTATGTGGTATGTCAAATACATGAACAATGCTTTTAATTATTGTACCGTTCGAGTGTGTATTTCAATGTGAAACTACTAGTATTTGTATAACAGTACTATTTATAAAATCTAAAACATTAGTTTGGTTTTAAAATTTTTAAAATCCGATCTGCATCCTATCGTCAAGTGTGATTGGACATCATTCCGTCAATTTTAAGCTCTGATTTTTATGCAAACTGATATTTGTGAAAAAGTTTGGCTTTTAGGTCCGTTCTCATCAGGTATCACATATATTATTCCAAGTTAGCCTATCGTAACTGTTTAAAAATTTATTAATGTTTACAAAAATCGAAATTCTCAATATTGATATTTTTAATATATAATATTTGTATAAATCACCTTAGTTGAAATTATCAGATAACTAATCAAAGTACGTTTATTTAAGATAACTTAAATGACTAATCTGCAGCGTTATGTTAAGAATGTTAGTGAATCCAATCTGATGTAATTGAATTTGTGCGTCATCTTAACCCAAATCCTTTGAATATCTGTATCATATAAATTTTCTATTGATTAGTTTACCGTTCGTTTATGAATCGTAAAATCAGAATATTTCCAGCTAAGTGCAAACATGCAGTTGCTTATAGGTTAAGCAAAGAAAACATAATATAACATGATGGATTGTCAATTATCGATTGTGCAAACAACTATCTTTCTACATTTCATTTTTGTTTATAAACCTTATATACATAGTACATTTTGTTTAACAACGGTAAAGTTGCATCACATGAGATTTGACTATTTACATTGTGACCTCTGGGTTAATCACGTATGAACTTACTTACGTACTTACTTACGCCTGTCACAACTTATGGAGCTAAAGACGCCAACCAGTGTTCTCAGACGTCTTCAAACAATATTGATAAGTGAAAAATTTGTAGACAGTAATGATAAATTCATGCACATCATTGTTGATCCCTTCAGCTTTGAAATTTTTGATTTTTACTCAATCAACAGGAAATTACAATAAACCTATATAGAGTGTTTTTGGTACGCATACATAATGCTGAATTGAAAATAACTTTTGACATATAAGTATATGTACACTTAGAAATCAAGTCGCACCAACCTAGTTAAGTATGATATCAGAGTTATGTGATAGTTAATAACTGCGGAAAAGCGAAATTAAATACCTAGCGTCCCTTATGGATAAAAGTAGAAAAAATGAGGACTTGATGCTAACAAAGCTATTGAAAGATAGAATGTTATCATGGGAGAATAAATGTCTTAGAATTGATTGTCTGTAATGAAGCTAAGGTTTAATAATTCATAGGTATTTCATACATTTTCCGTGCAGTTTTCTAGTGCTATCTAAATTGATTAGACCATAATTTGTATCAAGTAAATTTAGTAATGTCCACAAACTCTTGAATATCTTAAACTTTAGTTTTTAACAATGTATGGTACTTAAATTATAGACGAAAAGCTTATTTCTGTTTACGAAAGCTGACTGCTATGATTACGTGTTTGAAAGCAGACGTTTTGTTCATATATATAATTGTGTATAATGTCATTCATTTTCCATACATCATAGATCATAAAACGGATATGATTGTAGATCTACTGTTATCTAGAACAAACGCTGAAAGACAAAACATCAAAGAGAAATACAACAGTGTCTTGAGAAAGGTATGTTCAGAACTGCTTATATCTACTAATGAATGATAGTTTTTGTATTCATATTGTCAATGAAGGAATCGTTACTTCGATAGGCTTACAGTTAATAACTCCTTTTCAACTGGTCAGATGTTTAGGCTTCTTAAAGACACTATTGATTGATATCATAAATATGAATAAGAAGTATTTTAACTTGGATATTAAAAGACCTTTGATAGTCTGTGGAGTGTTATCTAGATTATATCCTGTAACAAAATAATAAGTCATCTAAAACCAGATTCGTTTTCTTTGAAAATACGTAAGCTCCTTGATAATAATAAGTGAAGAAAAAGTTTTTTTAAGTCGGTGACTTCTTATCCTGAGCTCTACAATATATATAAATTCCAAAATCACACCTCAAATAACTGCTGTTTTCATTGCAAGCATTGTCGTAACAGTGCACAAGTATCATTGTTGCGACTGAAGTCTTTTCAGTATTCATGACGAATGTATATATGTATTTTCGGCATAAGAGTAGTGGCTTGTGACACAGTTATGTGAATACATTCTACAAGTTGACTTTCTTTAAACTTCTAGATACATGAAATGTCTGATAGTTTTGAATAATTTATAGATCAAAAAATATCTTGATATGTTTTAAACAGGGTTTGGTAGTGACTACCATTGCAAGTGAAAATGTTATCTCTTATTTGTTTTGAGCTGAATATCTCCGCACTACACTGTTATTGCTTAGACTCGGACAAGTAGGCTGTAATATCAACATCTGATATCTGAATATCAATATCTGATCATAACGTTATCTGAACTAGATATGAAACAATCTCGCTTAAATCACTTCAACACAACGCAGTTTAGTAATATATATTTGGTAAATTTATTTCTGCCTTCATAACTTAAAAGTATCTCTTTCATGTTTGATCATAAATATATCATGAGCTCCACAATTGTACTTAATTTTTAGTCTTTACTCAACGAAAATGAAAATATCAAGTCAAATTTAGTGTATGTTTTATTTCAAGATCTGTTGACCGATTCATCGAATATATTAGGTGGAGAATTAAACAAAGCAGTTATTTTATCAGATTCAAAAAGGATAACTAGTATATTGATTGATTTTTGGGGTGAAGAATTTAATGAAGTGGAAAAAATTTATAAATTATGTGAGTAAATTTTTGATGTTATAACTTCCAGGCAAAAACTGTACATATTGTCACTCCGCGTTTAGTTTCTATTCAACCGTAATACGAGTATGAATCGTTGCACACGTTTTAGAAGTGCGTAATCTCACAAATGTATCTTTGAAATAAATATTGTTGCATTTTAGTAGATGTTACGTTTTTCACTTTGTACAAATAAATGGTCTACAATATAATTTAAATACCTAATCATTTTTATTATATTCAAAGAATCTCATATTGATAACAGTGACATAGAACGATTGATAATCACGCAGCTGATATTTTCTTATCATAAGACCAGAATTCCTTATATGTGATCAGCTCTTAAACATAGATTTCACAACCCAGTTGAAAAGATAAAATAATGTTAAACTAAAGATTGATGGTTTGATAATGAGATAAATCCTCAATCGAAAGTTCATGCTTAACAAGTATACAACAAATCTATTTCCAGATTTGTTTACAAATCATACATTCAACTGAAATCCAGAAAGTGTTGAACAACTAGGACTTAGTGTTTTGCACAATTTTTGTTGGGAAAAATGTAACTTTTAATTTAAATCAAAATTTATCAAGTCAGTATCAATCAAATACTATGCTTTTATTGTTCAGTTAGCAAAATAATAAAATGTTTGTAAATGTACCTTTGTACATCGCAGCTGCCTCGGAGTCTCTATGGAATTCTATTGGGAAAAAGTTTGGAAAATCAGTTGAATCTGTTTTACGATGCGTTGTTGAAACAAGAAAAATTGAACCTCAACAGGAATATCCTGTTAAAGGTCGAGGTGGTAAGCCAATTGTTAACGAGAGCGTCGTTTTAAAGGCGTTTAATGACCTTATGAACGTGTCACATTCCAAGTACGTTAATAGTTATAACGATTCAAAATAGCCTTGATATTATTTCCTACGTTTCCTGTCGTTGCCTACTATTTTTATTATCAGTAATGACGAAATTTCACGCGGCTGCGTGATTTCGTCATTACTGATAATAAAAATAGTAGGCAACGACAGGAAACGTAGGAAATAATATCAAGGCTATTTTGAATCGTTATAACTGTTAACGTACTTGGAATGTGACACGTTCATAAGGTCATTAAACGCCTTTAAAACGACGCTCTCGTTAACAATTGGCTTACCACCTCGACCTTTAACAGGGATATTCCTGTTAAGGTTCAATTTTTCTTGTTTCAACAACGCATCGTAAAACAGATTCAACTGATTTTCCAAACTTTTTCCCAATAGAATTCCATAGAGACTCCGAGGCAGCTGCGATGTACAAAGGAACTTTTACAAACATTTTATTATTTTGCTAACTGAACAATAAAAGCATAGTATTTGATTGATACTGACTTGATAAATTTTGATTTAAATTAAAAGTTACATTTTTCCCAACAAAAATTGTGCAAAACACTAAGTCCTAGTTGTTCAACACTTTCTGGATTTCAGTTGAATGTATGATTTGTAAACAAATCTGGAAATAGATTTGTTGTATACTTGTTAAGCATGAACTTTCGATTGAGGATTTATCTCATTATCAAACCATCAATCTTTAGTTTAACATTATTTTATCTTTTCAACTGGGTTGTGAAATCTATGTTTAAAAGCTGATCACATATAAGGAATTCTGGTCTTATGATGAGAAAATATCAGCTGCGTGATTATC